ACTTCTGAAATCAATTTTTTAATCGTAATATAATACTTTAGAGCTTTTTGGTTTTTAATGTTAGTCTAACCAAGGTCAGTATGTGATTTAATCTATGAAGATAGTCTTCGGTATGTATAAGTAAAAGTCGAAAAGTTCCTGGAAATAAGTTTATAAATACTACTGAAATAAGATGATAGAAATCTGTTAGACATCTTAAGCTTTGATGGAGTAGATATTTTAAAAATATTCTAAAGATGATTAATGAAAATAGTTTGTTTTATTATCACTATCTATAACAACAGTGTCGTGTTTAATACACTTTATAAATACCCAATCAAATTTGCAAGTTTATCACTATGGACATTAAACGTTGATTCTAGTCCTTGTGTCAACTGATTCAAAACGGAACTGATGATCGCATGATTATACTTTATACATTCATAAATGAAATATATATATATAACTATGTAAACTGAAATACGAAATCGTTCTACGTGTTAGCATAAGGCCGACCTGCAAGTTTCATCTATTCATTTCGTTCACAGTTTGTCGGTTCATTAGGAATCTAATCTTCTAAATACATTCCGCATTTGACTTTTAAATACTACAGTTGTATTAACCAGGTTCATCAACGTAGAACGTACGAAACTAATATGATTGATATTTCATTCATAGCCATCATCGTCATGAATAATAAATCCAGAATGTGACTATATATATTGATAACGAAATAATTTGATTAACTTGTGAATTAATTCTGATTTCTTAAAGTTATTTATGCTGGATTAATTACTAGATTACAGCGAAACCGTCTCATTACCTATATAACATCTCTTTATCTTTATATCATAAATAACTTTACAGATATTAACAACATTTAACAAAAGGAATTAACAATAGTCTTGGAAATTAGTAATTTTAAAATTACTTTGTAATACATTCATTTCTATAACAGTTAGAAACTAAATTAATCGTGTTAGAATATCATACAATTTACCTAAATATTTATACTATCTAATATTTAAGTTTCTATATGGATTTCTGTATATATTGGTATCATAGGAATGAGTTTTGTGGAGAGTTTTAGAAATTTCACAGGTTGAAATCATGAGTCAGTTGAAGCTAGACCACCATTGAAGTTAGACATTAACACCGTTGGATGCCGGCTCAGTGGTCTAATGGTTAAGTGGTTGCGCGCGAAGCCAGTAGATCCTGGGTTCGAGCCCCGCGTGGTGCGGGATCGTGGATGCGCACTTCTGAGGAGTCCCATACCAGGATGAAACGGCCGTCCAGTGCTTCCAGGTTTTCAATGGTGGTCTAGCTTCAACTGACTCATGATTTCAACCTGTGAAATTGGTATTATAGTTTAATCTAGATAACTCTATCCACTCAAACATGTAAACTGAGTGGAACTGGGCCGTTGGATTCGTAATAAAACGTTTTTTTTTTAAAAACGGAATGTTTACTTTTTTTCAAATTATTTTGTTCATTCACTGCATGCATCATAAATGTTCAATATTTTGTAGATCACCAGCAACCAATACATAACTTCAACTTTTAGGGGTGATATTTAGAAGCTACAATTTGATACAAAGTGTACTGCTTATCAATATAACAGTGTCTAACAGACAGACATTTAACTTACTAACTAATTAGTATCAATCGAGAAAAATCTAAATTTTGTATTCGTATACAGTGTTTTGATTTATAAATCATCAGGATTGTTAAGTGTTTTGAGAATGAAAAAAATCAACATACTCAATAAATAACAGATCATAGAGACCAGTTATGAAGAAACATGTTACATTTAGAGTAAGAGAAACATACTTTAAACATTCTTATCAATTAATGTAAACTTTTTACGTTCTATCAATGTCATAACTGATCATTTATATATGAATTAAAACAGAAATCATATTACCAGTCATATTTCTTATGTTCGATTCACTTGGTGAATCATAACTTTCAATTAATATGAAAATGTTAGGTTTTTATTATAAGCATGTAGGAAAAATGATAAAGTAGAACCTTGCTAATTATAATTAAAAAATATTCAGACATAGTTATATACTACTTTTAAAAATATAATTACGTGCTTCATTATTTTTATTTTTTTAATTTTAAAATCGTACATTTCCCTTTTCAATTTTTTTTCTTCACTTATTTTCTGTTACTATTTTTGTATTCCATTTAATTTACATGTTTTATTGTGAGTGTGCAAATATTCATTAACACTTTATTATGATGAACTGATTACCTTTTGTTCATATTACTGTTATTATTATGATTGTTATGATTACGACTTTAACTGGTGTCTTCTATGCTCTACCACAATGAAATAATAATCATCATAATAAAACAATGCCAAGTGTTACACCTTAGTTATGTTTATTTATTTATTTATTTGTTTCTACATCGAATAATGAAATCATTTTTAGAAAAAAAAATAGAAAAATGATGTGATAAGATAAACTACACAACATGAAAAGTAAAGAAAACGGAACAGATTAAATATTTATCGTGTAGTTAATATTCGTCAACAGTGAGAACATTATTATCATTACTGTTACTATAACTAGTGATAGTAGTGATGTTGATGGTAGTAGGAGCATGAAAAATATAATAAGTGAAAAGGTGAAGTTTTGTTCTTATTTTTTAAATTTTTAAAAGCAAAGTGATAATTTCATTGTTTGTCGTTTGGTTTTTCACTAACTTCTCTTAAATAATTTTCTTTTCATAATTTTGTTTACTCTAATTTTTCTCTCTAATCTAATCTCTAAAATAAAATCTTAGAAAGAAAAATGGGAACAGTTGAACAAAAAAAAATTTATAAACTTTTAAGAAAATTCACACAATAAATACAAATTTTTCATATATTGAAAAATAAAATTTTAAAAGAGGGTGGGGGGTGGAGGTAAGGATAACTGAAGGTGAAGGATAAAGGGAGTTGAAGAAAAAGAGGTTAACTGATGAAGAAATCAAATATAGTTAACTGTTTAAGTAAAATGAATTGTTCAATACACACATTCGCCTTTTAAGGGTATGTATATATGCATACTCATATATATACTACTTAATAATAAATAAACTTTCTCACTTGATTATGAATTTTATTATAATATATATATATATATATTATATATCATAGAGAAATGAAAGAATTTCGTTAAAATAGATAAACAAATTTACTACATTCCAAACGTTTTATCACTTAATTTCTTCTAAGTGATAATGATAATAATAATAAATATTATTATCTATTCAATATGATTTATTTATTTATCATTCACGTGTTATATTGATGATGATGATGATTTTCTTCTTTCAATATTCTATTTCTGTTATTTTCTCACTTTATTCTATAAGATCATCTAATGTGTAGAAGAAAGTGGACTCATTAAATCTTTTTGTTGTTGTTGATATTTATTTATTTACATGTTTAAGAATGTGTGAAGGGTTAAATTGAGAGGATTTAAATTGTCCGTGGAAATCAGCGCTCATGTATCCTCCTGCACGTACATATACTAGTATATACTATAAATTGAACAAGTGGATATCCATGAAATTAGTTGAAAATTATTTTTATCGGGTGAACAATAGAGAGTTTATTGTATCTGACAATTATCTCATTCTGTCGTAAAACTCTTAAAAAAGTATATACATGTCCTTATTAGCCATTTCAAGAATTGCTGTGTAACTCTCGAACTCTTTAAAAAAACACATTAAAGATGGTTTACTTCATGAAGTGTTTACAACTGATGAGCTATATAAGACAAAGTATCTCTGCATATCTTTTCAGAAGTCTAAACTTATAATTTCATAAATAACGCAAATCACTACATTCATAATATTAAGATAAAAGTAAACTTATTGAGATAATAAGTTCGAATAAGATAGTATATATTTAAAACTTAAGTTATTATTCAATTACTTTCAAATCGTACAAAATCTCTATAAATCCTACTAAATCTCTATTAAAAATTGTTGTGATTGACTCAAGTTAAGATTCGTAAAACAATTCATCATATTGATCAAACCGTTTTCCGGTTCTAATCAGTTTCATCAACAGTATAGAATAATTAACTAAATATTTACTAAAATTCTGTATGATATTTTCTTATGGGTACTCTATGATAACCATTATACTCTTATGACAGACAAGATACTTAGATACTTATGTTAAACATAGATGTAATCACATTTAAGAAAGAAAAAACAGATTTCAAACTTTATAGGCAATTGGCGAGGAGTTTGCCGAGAAGTTCCATACTAAGACAAAGCCGTGACCAGTGGAGTGCAATCTGTGTCGAGTATGAGAGAGTTATCCACCTCAAACAATGGATGAATGATTGAGCAAGATAAAATGGATCAACTGGGGTTGAATATTAATACCACTGAATTCCGACTCAGGTTAAGCATTTGCATGTGAAACCAAAGATTATAGGTTTGAGTCCCACGCGCGTTATCATAAGTGCACATTATTGTGCTATCTTAATGTGTTGATTCTCGAATCAAAGCAATTCATAAATGTGACCAAATATTTATTGTAATTGCCGAACAAAAACAAAACCATCAGGGGCAAATTAAATATTCTACTACAAATACTAATGTTCACTTTATATTATTTTACAATAATTTCTTACTGAACAAAATTTGTTTCCATTACTTAAAGTTACAAAAACTAAAAGGGAAATGAAAGTGGAAAACTAAGGACTTGAAAACAAATCAAATAAACATACTTGTTATGGATTGTAAATAAAAATCTTGGTTCAACGGTTTAGGTATTCTTGTAATAAATTAGAATTTTATACTGATTATATATTGAGGCATTAGTTTTATACTTTACTACATTTAATATTTAGTTTGCCGATACTACCCTAGGCATTAATAACTACATATTTGGATTACTTAAGAACAAGTAATATCCTTCAGTTTTGCTAAATAAACAAAAAAGACAGAAAATAGTTTCTTTTAGAAGTAAATATATTTACTTTAGTAAACAAAGTCTATTAACATACCTGTACACGTGATTCAGTAAGACCAATTCGTAAAGCTAATTCTTCTCTCATAAAAATGTCAGGATAATGTGTTTTGGAAAATGCTCTTTCCAATTCATTTAACTGATTCGGTGTAAATCGTGTACGATGACGCTTTTGTTTTACACATGTATTACTTGATGGTAATTTCATATCAGATATACTACAAATTCCAGTGTTATTGTTACCATTATTATTATGACTATTAATTACATTACAATTGTCGACAGTATTAGTTAGATTAGTATTAGAAGTAATGTTATTGCTTTTATTGCAAATATCATTGTATTTTTCATAATTTAAACATTCAGAACTTGTTTCATTTGATGATAAATTTGAAGATGGTCCAGTACTATCATATGTTAAATTCAAATCTTCTAATTGGGAATATGTACTACTGTCAGTTGTATGAGTAGTACCAATATAAGTTGATTGAATACAAGATTGTAATTTATCCATTGAAACAATATTATTTTCATAATCCGTATAATTATCTCGTTGTGTTTGATAAACAGGTGTAGAATGTGAAATTTGTTGCTGTGTTTGTTGTGATTGAAATAAATGTTGTTGTGTGGAACAAATATTTTGACTTTTAATTTCAAATGACGAACTATTGTTTAACTTTGGAGGATTAAATAATCTCATCAACTGATCACTTTTATAATGATCATTTTCTAGATTACCATCATCTATGTTGTAATTATCTACTGAAGTTGGGTGAAATTGTTTTCTTTGTACAGGGGATTTATTATCAAGATGATCGAAAAATTTGTTTAAATTATTCAATGTTTGATCTTGAGGAAATTTGGGAATATTTCCAATTGTATTAATGTGTTGTTGGTGTTGTTGTAGATTTGACTGTTGTAAAAGAACACCATTAGTGTAAGTTGATATTTGATTGTTATTCTTGTCTAAAGTCTGAAATGTTTAAAATTATAAAGAAAAAAAGGCAATGAGTTTCAAGTTAACAATCTAAATATACTGAAAATGAGAAAACATGATAAAGAGTAGAGTACTAAGAGAATCTTACACATTCTGGTATTTTTCATAGTCAAAAAAGCCAAGTGAAATTGTCAGTGATAATAGTAAGCCAGTTTTTTGAAAATAGATAGTCGACTATTTCTGTTACAATTGATGTGTTCACATTGTGATTTAATACGCAAGTATTTTGATTAGACTGGAACTCAAGCTTTGCAAAAGAATTTGCAGCTAATTGGTCACTCGGTAGTAAGCAATGTCATTCTGATCAGTGGTCATTCAGTTTTATTGAGCAAGTGGCAATGTGGACACAAAGGTGATCAATTGGACACCATGGTATGATTTATTTTGTCAGAAGCAATTTACGGGTAAATTTGATTTCAGGTATCTTTCTTTCGGTGCATGTCTTTAGAGCTTTCATACAATAATGAGGAAAATAACGCATCCTAAGGTAAAAATTTACCTTTAAACATCCATCATAATGTCTAGTCACAGTCTTAGTGACCATATAACAATTATATTAATAAAATTCAATAAATACTAAAAATATTTGTCTCAATAATTATTGTAGGCATCCTAGAATTAAGGGAGGTTTGTTTAAACTGGTTAGAAGTAACAGCTCTGACCAAGGCACAAACGTGAATCTTAAGGGAACCATCAATAACATTCAAAGTGTAGATATACCTTGTTTGATGAGTGATAAACAACACAGCCTCGATCAAAAGCATTCTGTCATTTATCTCCAATCACCTAACCATTTATTAATAAACTGAAATTAAACAGTTTTTGAACAATCTTTTTATGACTAATTAAAACCTGGACTTTTAATTTTTCAATCCGGAAAATGAACAGAAAAGAACAGATTCAAGTTATCATAAGTGTAATCATTTAATTCTTTACTACACTATATAATTTACATTGATGAATAACTGATATACTTTTTAAAAGAAAGATCTAGTTAAATTAGGACTGTCGTTTAAACACTTGATGGAATGGATTATATTTGATAGAACACTCATATCACTATTGATCTGTGTCATGATAAGAAACAGAATAAACTCATTTTAATTGAAGTAAAATATTTTTTATCATCTTAAACTATTTGCTCAAGTAATTCTAGTGATTTGGGTATGTATGACGATGTAATGTATGATGTAATGTATGACGATGAAATACATAATGTGCATCTTACTTTATTTGATATTCTTCAGCTAGATGATCTGTGTTCTAGTGTTGATGTTTACGCTGTGATTTAAGCTTATTGCCTATTGCTTTACACACTGACAAGCTACCGTTCGAGCTACTGAGTTCACGTAACCACTAGATTGTTCAGCAGGTATACAAATATTAGCAAGGAGTTGTGTTGAATGACTATCTGAATTTAATAGCTCAAAAGGTTACGCATCGACGTCTGAAGTGTTAGTCAATCGGTTCAAATCATTTTGGTGGAGTTTTGTTCTCTGAGCTCAGAGAACAAAACTCCACCAAAATCATCCACCTGAGCTACAAATCTTCTCCACCGGTTCAAATCATATTTTGAGCATCAACACAGGGACTTAAGTGTATCTATCTGACAAATCTCAAATAGAAAGAGAAGTGCACATTAGATTCCTCTATCAACTACATAAAAATTTAACAAAACGTGTGATTAATAGGTCATATCAAGGCAATATACTCAGGATAAACATGTGGTAACAAAGACCGATTGTTTGCAGTCCTAGATATCAAAAACAGGAAATTACCAACTCTTGCTAATATTTACTTCACTATTCATTCGTGATATAGTTGTGAATTGATAATACTTGTTCATCAAATGTTATGTGGTTCAACAAAGCAGTTTACTTATTATAATTCCTCAATCAGGTATAAATTCAAAATTATTGATAATCATCAGAGAAAGACCATTGTACAGTTAATATGCTTTTAAAACATTTGAAACATGTTTCCATTGACTGAAAACTTTTATCACATAGTTTCAAAGATCAATTCTTTATCCTACTCATATAGCTTACGAGTAATGCACCACAAACAATTGAAAAAATTATGAATGAGATCAAGTCATAATCTTTATGCTATTGAAGCTTTGATTGTCATACCTGACAAAAAAATTAATGAATGCTTTAAGTGAATGTTAACAATTTTGTATAAGGATCATTTGATACGAAAAATTGACAGAAGTTAAAAATTAGTAAAATTAGGCTCGGGTCCAGCAGCTCAGTGGTATCGTTGAGGATCTTAATTCAATCTCACTTGTGGTTGTTGTTGGACGTTACTTAAAAGTCATAGATTTAGACAAAATAGTTATCCAGTAGTTCTAGATTTTTGATAGACCGTTGGATGATTTCAGTTTCTGATGGATATAACACCGCATAATACCTTCAAATAATTATTTCAGCAAACGATATTGGGTTCGAGTCCCGGAATGAACATCGACTCTAGAATACAGGCTGACGGATTTTAAGTAGGACAAAATGTGCTCTAAATTTCAGTGCTAACCATCGTCATCTAATCTTATAAACATTAAGATATGTTTAAAAAGGAATATTTATCAGCAAAATTACATGATGTAAAACATAATACTCAATTGAAACTATCTGTCTAAAATTAAAATTATCAAAGACATAGAGTAAAAAATGACTAAAAAATCCATGAAAATGTTTCATCACGAAAGCATTTTACTAATAAACCGGAAGAACTAGTTACTAATCTAACCATAGAGACTGGATAGCAACTAACTCAGTAGCTAGCTGTATATGCGTGCTTAAAATAATTCCACCATAATGATTATAACTATATAAAAATTCTTTATACGATATTGTTTCCTTATGTTCTGCCAACTGTAATTCCTTAGGTTATCCATACAAATATTTATGCATTAATGCTCATTTACCTTCAAATACTCATAATAAAGCTAAATAATGAGAAGGGGAAACTATCAAATAAAACGGGAAGTAAAAAGAATGAGTTTCTTTTTAAATATGATATACAAAATTCTATTCGAGTACAGATTTGAATGTGTATATTATTGCTTATCTATACAAAATAACTATACTCTATAATACACATTTTTCTTTCAATTTATCCTCTTAGCAACACACTTATAAGGATATATGTATATAAGGGATAATAAAATGAAAAACAATAAAGCATTAGTTAGTTGTTAACATGATAGTTCCATTTATAATGTTACTTTCCCATCAAATCATCACGAAGATTATATTCTCCTCTTTTACTCTGTAAATCTTAAAAAGTTTTTATCGTTACTTTGTTTTTGTAGAAAAATTATCAGAAGTGAATGTAAAAAAGTTTTTCAAGGTTATTGGTTATTTTAATTCTATCCCTTAATAAAAATTTCCGTTAGGAATAAATGTTATACATTATATGATGTATGTATGCTATTACATGGGATAAATTAAACATCATACTATTATGTAAAAGTTGAATTATGAAAAAAACTTCTCTTCCTATTTTAGACTCGTTAGATGGATGTACCAGCTACTTGGTATTGATATTCACATCAAAATTCCAAACAATTGGATCCTGATCACAGTCAATTAGTCTTGAATATCAATAACAGAAGAATGTTAACCTTTTAGAAAATATTATTTCCTTGAAAAAGCTTGAACCAGATTGTCAAGCGAAACGTTGGATTTACTTCAAATTCTTTCGCTAAGATTTTACAAATACGTTCTTCCTCTTTAATATCTCAAATAAACTCGGTGCTCAAATACTGTGAAACTATTCGATCAAATTTAGACGAAAACACTGTTCTGTTTAATATTTCAGAATTATTGGCATTCGCTATTCGAAACATTTATATTTTATATTTTCAGTAAAAACCATTTTAATAATTACCAGATTATTTTAAACTTAATAATGTATTCATAATTAAGATTGTTAAGATGTTTTTGGTAGGTCGGCTATATAAAAATATGTTATTGTATAATTCCACCCAATTTGTCCATGAGTTACTCTTGTTTGGTTCCATCGGTTGGAAAATAAAAAACACACTTCACTATGGATCGATTCTTTAATTTAAATTTATTCGACTAATGATCTAGATGGAACTGTTTTTTTATACAATAGATCCAAAGACTCATGAAAATCATCCGGTAGTCTCAAGGTTTCAGTGTTCATGAAAGTGGTATTATTATGTTGTGTAAATTGGGTTTGAAAAAGTAGTTAATAAAAAGCTTCACATTATCCAGACGAGTCATCCTCAACGTACGAGTAAATCTTTGGTGAAGGATATAAGGAAACAATTGATTTAGATTGAACTTTTTAGCATCCATTACATATTAATTATATGTAGAAGTTCACAATAAAGGAAAAAAGGAAGACCAAAGAACACATTACGCCGAGAAATGGAAATAGGCATGAAAAAGATGAACAAGAATTGGATGGAATTAGAAAAGGAGGCCCAGGACAGAGTGGGTTGGAGAATGCTGGTCGGCGGCCTATGCTCCATTGGGAGTAACAGGCGTAAGTAAGTAAGTAAGAAGTTCACAAACAAACAAAAAGTTGGGTTAATCAGCGTTATTATATTTTTATACAATAATACCTGTGGTATAGATGCATTTACATATGAGACGAAGTAGTATTTTAACTCAACTGGAATAATAACAATGATCTACTTGAAAAACTGTCCCGTAGTTACTAAAAAATATTTCATTTATTCATCTTCACAACATGGATAATTAAGTGTGGAAATGAAGTTGTCTATACAAATCTTATGTAATTCAACTTCCAGTATGGAATAATAAGGAAAAGTTTTAAAATATAAATTGTAATCTATACGAATATTCGTCAAGATTAGAACGAATAGTTTGACAGTAATTGAGCGCCGAGTATAGAGAAGTCATTATATGTGAAAATTATATTTGAAATATTCTCAGCGATTGATTTTGATTATTACCCTGAAGAAGTCCAGACAAGTTAGCTGGACGAAACGTTGGAATTAGTTATATTTCAATCGCTGAGAATATTTCAAATATAATTTTCACATATAATGATAAATTGTAATCATTGTAAATATGATCTAATAGTACTTCAACCAATTTTTCAAGAGCTAGACGTAAATTATAACCTAATTATGGAATGAAATGCATATTAAGTTTGTTTTGTTACCTTACCTCTTTACAACGGTAGTTAATCTCACTAAAAACAGTTTATTCGAAAATAAAAGTTATGCTAACTGTAACTAATAATTTATTTATTTATTTTAACATATAGATATTGGTACAAGGAGGCACCAAATACATATGCGCCACACAAATCTCATTTGATATGTGTGAGGGATTCGATACCGTCCGGGTGCCAAAACCGAAGCAGGTGGTTTTCTTAGAGGGCCACACCCGGAGCCTTTGACCTGAAGGTCTGATCCGCAAAGCAATGGAACAACGTAAGGAGGTGCATTGCCATGGTAGCCGGTGACCAGCAATATGGTTCATACGCCATTTGTTCCTTCAGGATACTGGAGCCAATGTGCACCATTGGTTTGGAAACACGGTTTTCCAATTCCCCTAGATGAACTCTCCATGTCCACCAACCCGGTCAAAGCGCCGGACATTCGCTTTTCGTCCTCTCAATTTCGTAAACAACACCCCCGCCACGAGAAGGCAGCGAGTAAGACTTTCCTGGCAGAGGCTATATACGCGTGTCCATGTGAGGGCATTTCGAGAGGGAGAGTGGGCTCTCCACACTCTCGGCCGTATCAGGGCATTTGGGGGCCGGATGATTTACATGAGTCTTTGGATCTGTCGTATAAAAAACAGTTCCATCTAGATCATTAGTCGAACAAATTTAAATTAAAGGATCAATTCATAATGAACTGAGAGAAATATCTTTCTAGAAAAAAATGCATTGTATAGTGCAATTTTAAATTGTTTCAGTCCTAATTAAATGTCTGTGAATTAAAACAATTCCTTTAGATCATTCCTACTAATGGGTTCTAATTAAAAAAACAGCATTATCAATTAAAAAGTTCACTTGTGAAAATTTCCGCATAACCAAAATCGAAAATATCTCTTAAATATTGGATTCGAGTCAATGTTGTTCAAAATTAAATAATTTCGCTTATTTAAATACAATTCAATCGATCCATGATCTTGCGCTACCATTCATCCATTGTCTGAGGTGGTTATGTTTCTCACATCCGACACAAATTGAATTCCAATTGTCATGGCTTCTCACTAGAACTCCAGGAAATACATCTTGAAGCTAGTCACTGGTGAACAGATAGTTAAAATCAGTGTGAGGATTTGAGAAGATGAAAGTGATTTTAATGGTTGAATCCACGATTCGACATAAGCTACACGACGATTGAAAAGCTAGAATAACTGTACGTCCGTTTCGTCCTAGATGGGACTCTTCAGCAGTGGACATCTACGATTCGGCACACAGGACTCGTGATAATAATCAAATTCTCACTGGTGACTAGCTTGACGATGTATTTCCCGGAGTTCTAATGAGAAACCGTGACCATTATAATGCAATTCGCGTCGTATATGAGAAATTTATTCATCTCAGACAACAGGTGAATGGTTGCGCAAGATCATAGATCAATTGAAGTCAAACATTAACATTGTGGAATACCGACTCGGTGGCCTAGAAATCAAAGGTCGTGGATCTGAGCTCCCTGTGGTTTCACGGTCGCGTATTGTTGAAGAGTCTCATACTAGGACGGAACGGTTATTTGGTTCTTATAGGTTTTCAGTGATGATCTAGCTTAGACTGACTGATGAAATCAACTATTAAAATTATTACAATCTCCATCAGTCCCCATTCAAATAAAATTGTTAATATTGGCCATCATTCAAATTTTCTCTGAATACCCTTTATTTTAATGTTTATTAATTTGTGATTTATTAGTGTTGTTACCTTTTTATAGAATCAACTTGTTGCATTAATCATCATGGAAACTATTTATTTTCCAATTTAAGGGCTGTTAAATAAAATTTACAAAAAAAATCCCTGAACAAAACAAATAAATGTGTAACTCATGATAAATGTAGTTAGAATTGTTTAAAATTCAGTTGTTGTTGCTTTTGCTGTTCGTTATTGTCGCATCATTTTTTTTGTGGCAGAGAATAATCGATGTTCACTGTTGAATAATATAAGTAGTTTGAAACCAGCCGCAAAAAAAATTAAATGTTTTTGTAACAATCAAAGCTATCTAACAGTTGTCTGTTGTCACGATTCATTTCAGAAAATTAAATTTTTTTTAGAATTTGTAAATTTAATCACTTAATGTAAGCTAACTGACAGAATCAGTAAATTGATTCTAACAATGGCAAAAAAACCCTTGAAATCACCTTTTAAATTGACTAAAAATTAAATTTCACTATACTACACATCAAAAGGAAAAGTAGCAATTGGAAACAATTTGAAGCGATTGTCCAGGGCAGAGTTGGATGGAGAATGGTGGTGGGTGGCCTATGCTTTTCCGGGAGGGGAAATAGGCGTAAATAAATAACACATATTATGTTAACTATTAATGATTGGTAAAAAGGCTTGTGGAGATTGTATCATTCCATAGTTTACATCAGTAACTGATCTTAAGTAAAAAACCATTGAAAATAGAGAAGAACTAGAAAACTGCTTTTCCCTAGTATGGAGCAACTTAGTAAACCACATCTATATTCTACCGACGATCAAATTTAACATCTACTGGTCTCTAGATGGGAGCCTTATTTTTACGTCAATTAATCGAAATTCAATAGTATATTTAGTTGACTCCAATTAGTTTCAGGTATTGCTCAACCATCCTCCAATGTCACTTTTCATAAGAACGTAGGATTTAAGATTAGTTTAATTTGAAGATATTTTATACCACATAGTAACTTTAGCTAGTCAACCATTGGAAGCACAGGAGTATAAAATAATTGTTTTGTTATAAAATTGGGACTGTTCAATCGTGTATGCCAGTGACATCATCGCGGGAACACATCATCTTAAGAATAATTAGTCGGGATCTTATTGACACTTATTTTCAACTTCAGATAATCCACGAAATTGCATGACCCACATCATTTGCTGTTGATACTGTAGTGGCTGGTATCATGCCAAGCCCAATTATATTATTCTAACTTCTCGACAGACCAATTTATTCATTATTTTGAAGCCACATTTTTACCTTGTTAATTATTAACTTATTAACCCTGACTGTTTTTATATGATAGTATGTGTGTTGATTGCCTACCCCATTTATGATGTATTTGTAGCTGATTTTTGTCTGAATATAAATATTAAGTCATATTTGATCAAAGCAAGTTGGTTCACTCGCCCTCTCTATTGCACGTAATTTCGTTTCGCTTCCCTTCCTTTACTTCGTTCCTCTGATTGTATGTTCAGATCGACAGAAGTACGAAATACGCATATTCAAACTCCATTTCCGTATTTGAATTATTTTCATTCAGTTATTCACTAAACTGATTTAAGACAATAATTATGTTTGAAGATTTGCGACATGTAAATTTCGATAACAATCATCATCGTCCGATCTAATTAGAGTCAGATATCGATCCACTTAAATAGTGACTGCTTCACTTTCAACATTCACTTCACTTATTTAAGCCTGTTACCTCTCGTGGAAACATAGGTCGCCGACAAGGGTTTTCCAAACAACTCCGTCCTGGGCAATCCTTCCTAAGTTTTTTCAGTTGCTATTCCTTCTTTTGATATCTGCTTTCGATTACCGACGCAATGTGTTCTTTGATCTTCCTCTTTTCCGTTTCTCTTCAGAATTCCAAGTTAGGGCTTGATCCGTGATACAGTTTTGTGGGTTCCTTAATGTATGTCTAAGCACATCCAGCGTATTTCACTAATTTTCTCTTCGTCTGAAATCTGGTTTGTTCTCTGCCATAATAGGTTGTTCCTGATAGTATCTGTTGAACGTATCCGAAATATCTTGCGTAGACAACTGTTCATAAATACCCGTACTTTTTGATGATGGTTGTAACAGTTCTCCAGGTTTCAGCTCAGCACTTTTAATATGCTTGCATGCGATTAGGCACTGTCATCATCATGACTATTAACTAAAGTTATTACACGATGAAAACTAGCTCTAAAGCGAAATAACTTTACAATATGTTTGTAACTAATTGTTTTTTCGTATATAATGTATCTTTCTATTTTGCTTACAATTTCTTTGTAAAAAAAAAGGTTGTTTAATAGACTTAGACGAGAAAAAATACAGTATACCTTGACATCAGCTGGTGAAATAGAGGAAACCATGTAATACAGAATAATCGTTTTATTTGACTTTCAAGCATCTTAGAAACAGACCCATATGTTATCAAACACAAGATCATCAGATCATTGGCCTGATCAATGTTTCTTCTTTCAGCCAAGTTTTTTTTCTCTACGTGCTAGGTTCGAATGTTAGTTTTAAATATAATTATTCTGTGATAGATTTAAGCATTTTTCAGTACAAACTCATTCATCACTAGTTTAATCAAGCTTCATTTTAAAGGCAAGAAATAATAGTTTTTTATACTGTGAAGATTGTTCAATCAACTTTGAAAAATACTTAATTTTGGTAGTGTAATAATCTGGACTTACCAGATTATCGGAATAATTTAAATCATGAATTCGTGTTTGAATCGTTGAGTTTAACCTGTTAGTTTCTTCACATAGATGTAAATTGTTTATATTTGTGCTGTCATCAATACTGTTGTTAGATATTCCGTTGACATTTTCATTGGCGCTATTGTTATTATTAATACTGCTTGATTTATGTGTAATGATCGATGAAGATTGAGAATTTCTGCTGACTGGAGTATGATAACTCAAGGATTTGTGTTCGTATTTATTCGACCAATGAGATGATGTTGAGGATAATGGTGATGTAGAGGAATCTGGCTTCACTCTCCCAAAAGTCTCATGATTTATTCTGTTAACAGGATTTAGTCTTATATGAACTTCTGAACACACAGAATCTAAGTAAAAATTGAATAGAAAAAATATATATATTGTAGAATATTAGATGTGATAAATTTGCATCATGTTAATAATGATTTAAAACGTCATACTCAGCAGACATGTAAGTAAACGAACGATCCAAGTTGGTCAGTTAAGTGATGAATGCTTTTTACTTATGGGATATGATTCTTATTCAAAATCAGTGAACATAATTTCTTATCATATTGCATTGAGCAACTGTGGAAAGTGTTATTATGAGCCTAAAACTAATCAAATTATATATACCAACATTTGTCAAGATTAGTTTGACAAATATTGGGTGCTGAGTATAGAGAAGTCATTATATATGAAAATTATATTTGAAATAATCTCAGCGATTAAAATTTAAATAATTCCAACATTTCGTCCAGCTAACTTGTCTGGACTTCTTCAAGGTTCTATGTTCTAAGCTTTAAACATCTTGATATACTTCAGTAACGAACCAGTTTCGTGTATTTAACTGCAAAGTATATTTACTGTAAATGAGATGTAAATACTCTTTTGTTCCTGGAACCGATTGAATAAAACAGGAACAGAATATTCAACTCGTAAGTTGAAATTTTAACTGCTAGAACTACTAAACCACAGTTTTGATACATTTGTAAATATCTAAAGAAACTAATACACTTTATCGGAGAAGTGAATGAAATAATCTTCTAATAAAAATATCACTGAAATAATCTGGCTAAATAAACGTATTTTTACTGTAAGAGAATTTTAACTCTTGAATATATTTATATAATTCTATACAGTGTATTAGTTATACTAGATTTGCAGTCAAATATAGTCTAAATTAACTTAAGTGGAAATAGCTAATTTGTTAAAATTTGCTATAGTCTTTACTTCAATGTGACTTAATTCTTGTCGTATGAAAGCGTGCTTTGAATGGAAACTGTTGATGAATGATATTTGAAGCTATGACGAAAATCTTTTGTTCATTTACATTTGGACATTATTCATGTTGTCTCTTAGTTGATATGGCTAGTTGTTATCCACCTGGAATGGACTGAATTCATGCTTCTATCATACAGTTACGTGAACTGACTAGTTTTATCCCTGTGTTGTTATGAAGATTAGTCATTAATAATCATGATATTCAGTAATTCGATCTCAGTTTACGTGTATTAATATTAGCTCATATGGGTCTCCAAAACCTGAAACTATACATATTGACTTTTCAACCAAAAAGGTACATGATTTTCATTTCTGTTTATGAAAAAATATGTGAAAATTTACTAGATGTTTCTCAAAAACTCACTACACAAAAACAACAGTCGGAAATTTAAAATAAACATTTTAAAGAGGAAGAATGTATTTGTAAAAACTCAGCAAAAGAATTTGAAGTAAATCCAACGTTTCGCCAGACAATCTAGTTCAGGCTTTTTCAAGGAAATGTAATCAACACATCAATATTATTGAATATAAATAGGTACATGGTTCTCCGGTGTACTGTATACTGAATTGGTCATCCAATCAACGTTAACAATGTTTAAAATAGGTATTTATATTAGTGAAGTTTTTTTTCAAACTCCCTTCAATTCGTTTAGATTAATTCTATCTGACAGTAAAAATGACAAAAAATAATGAGTATAGTTTGTTTTCTAATTTTAATAGTATGTACTACCATGAATAATTTCAGAAGAGCTGATTGTTAGTTTGACGAATTTTATCTAGAATAATCAATAATTAATGTAATACCACTCTAATAAGTTTCTTTTTCTATGTCAGTTAAATTGTTTGTTAATATATTCCTTGTTAACAATTTACTCATATGGTTAAAGAGAACATATTTCAAGTAGTTATTCAAAGAGTTATTAATATAATGTTGAAAAACCATATAAACTATAAAAAGGTTAATTATTAATCTTTGTACAATTTAATTTTATGTTGATATTCTGATTATATAATCAGAAAAAAGTTTTTGTAGATATTATAGTAATTTAATAGTTGAATTCATGAGTTAGTTGAAGCTCGACTACCATGATAAACCTAAAAGCGCTGGAAAGCCGTCTCGTCCTAGTACAGGATTCCTCAGAAGCACGCATTCGCAATCCCGCGCGAGCGCTTAACAACTAGATTGATTATAGTTTACTTCATCAGTTCCTTTTAAATAATACTGAAATCCATAAGAAAACTAATATCATATTGGTTATTTAATTTATAATTTAGAGAGGTTTTAATGCAATCTATGAATTAATCAGTGGGATGTAATAAAAATTTTATTTGAACATTTAATACAGATCATAACAATAATAGAATATAACTGAATAAGTACTTTTGAATTATTGCAAAATAATGTAGTTGTATGCTAAGAGAGGTGTAAAATTTTAATTTTGATATATTTTCTTGATTGAACGCTCATTATTATATTTGGTTATTGCTGATTGTGTTGTATCGGAATCGTTTCTTACTTACACTTGTAAAAACGGGGAACCATTGCAATTTCTATGGTGCAAAAGTAAGAACACAAAAATTGGTACAAGTGAAGATTTATTAACCTCAAAACACTACGATGACCCTAGTCAAAAATAAGCTCATTTACATATATATTGTAAACCCATTTTGGTTAATAATTAGGAATTTTATAGTTGAATTCATGAGTCAGTTGAAGCTAGATCACCATGAAAAACCTGGAAGGTCTAGAAGGTCATTTTTTCCTAATATGGGACTCCTCAGCAGTGCGGATCCACGATCCCGCCCCACAAGATTCGAACCCAGGACTTATCAGTCTCGCGCACGAACGCTTAACCTCTAGATCACTATGCGGGCATCCGACGGTATTAATTTATAGCCTCAACCAATCCCTGAAATTGTGCAACCGTCCACCATCAACATCAGAGTTATTATCTCACAACAAATCTTGCTAAATCCACTGGTCACGGCTTCTCACTAGAACTCCAGGAAATACTTCTTGAAGTCAGTCAATAATAATTAGTATGAAATCACATATATGAAAAATACTTAGAGTTATAGTAAATCCTGTGCTACATGCCATGCTGAGTATAGTTCATGTTAACTTAATACAAGAATACTGTATGTTATTACCGAATACAATATCATACGGGAAAACAGAAGAAATACTGCATTGAGTAATTATCACACTGAAATAATAAAACGGGAATAGTGTTGAACAAAAATCATAATGTATACAAATAATAATCAATGTTAGAACGAATAGTTTGACAAACATTGAGTGCCGAGTATAGAGAAGTCATTATATGAGAAAATTATATTTTCAACTATTGATAACTCAATCTTACACGTACACACACAGAATTCGTTCAGTCATTTATCTTTACATCGTGAACTTTTCGTATGATTCGCATTTAATTGACTCATTTTGTTCTATTTACTAAAGTCAATATCCAAATATGATTGGATGAGCACAGTATAGATTTGATTTGATTGTTACAACGCTCTATATTTCTTTGATGATTTTGATTATTACCCTGAAGAAGTACAGGCAAGTTTGCTGGACGAAACGTTGAAATTACATTAAATTCCAATCGCTAAGATTACTTCAAATATAATTTTCGCATATAATGAAAAATCATCATGAGTAAAAGAATGTGATTTTGACTTTTCATCCCACAATTAAAACGAAAATGAAACGGTCATTGCTCTAGTTAATACTGTAGTGAACAGAACACGGGTGGGGATAATCGAATATATTTAACACAAAATTACAGGACTTGTTAATAAAATCCAACAATCATAAAGTAAATGCTTAATTTGCAAAATATTAATCGATTGTCTCAAAATGACTCAGACTTCATTGTTCTTGCATTTTCATACAAATTGCATCCTGTTCCCATTCTTTACTGTTCGATCCTCTTATCTCTCTGCTTCCAGACCTTCTGTTTACGACTAACATCATCTACTACTTATTTCAATATAAGTAGCACACACCACAGTACTTACACTTTATTGTAAATAATTTTTAAAAAAAATAAATTTTTTTACTTTTTACAGATACATTCGTTGTAGATTATTTATCTTTTGAAAGATTCATCAACAGGTAATACCAAATAAAAGACAGTCTGTAAATAATTTTCTGATTAGAATTGTATAGGAATAAGTTTTATTTATACTTTCCTTATATCTGAACTGATAACCGTCATAATCTAATAGGTGTAACAGGTCAACTACAATATCAATATAGGAATAATATGAACCCCTTATTAAAAAATGATCAAAACATCGTAGCTCTTTGAGAGTTTGACCTGAGTAGTTATGTGGATAACGTATTAGGATTAAAAGTGGAAGATACTGAGTTTGAGTCTCAATGTGATTATCAACAATAAGATGAGAGTACATCAAGCTGCTAAGTCTTGAACAAAATAAAACGTGCCTCTTGAATTCCACTAATAACCATATTTCAACTTTACTGAAGTGATTATAGCATGCAAAAGCTCCAAACATTCTTCTGATTAGTGAACAAATTTTTGAATGTTTCTGATTATTACCAACCATTTTGTTAAAAGTATAAACTGATTCTTTGACTGAATCACTTTATATATAGAATTTTTTCGATGGTCTTAATCAAAATAAATGTGATAGAAGTTATAGAACTGAAGAATTTCATTCATTCTTCAACTTTATTGTAATTACAATAATTATAATTACTATTGTTATTAGTGGTAGTAAGTTGTTTAAGAGAGAGTTATACACATAAAAACACCAATCCTTTTAAGGTTGTTTCACCTAATGTAAAATTTTATGAAGTAAAATAAAAATTTACATTCCATCGAATCAAATCGTTAAAAATGACCAAATTCTTTCCAGAGAATTAACTTATATATATATATATATATATATATATATATATATATATATATATATATATATATATATATATATATATCCCTTCAAACGTTATACGCTCCTCTAGTCTATCTACGGCCTCTTGTGTACATCGAAAGTAGACAGAAAATATTAGAATTTTCAGTAATTAACAGAAATATCCCACTACTCATGACATTGGTAGCAGTTCTTTTTGTTTACTTAACATACTTTTATTTAGATATGATATATAATAACAATATTAAGTACATGAGTAATGAAATTCAGACTGTGTCAGTGGATTTAATCAATTTAAATTCTATATAATTTAATACTTAGCTTAAACCTTGTACCATCATTAACAGTCTATCATTAGTAAAATATACAAACTAATGGTCTAAATGACAAACAAAACTCTTTATAAGTGATCCAATGAAATTTTTTTCAATAAATATTATTGAACCTTCATTCTTTCAACAACAAAAACAAAAACCGAATTGTGGGTAAAAATTCAAAATACACTACGTATATTTTGTTTTTGACATGTTAAAATTATTCAGTTTATTCAATTACTTTCAATAAAATCAACGGAATGTTTAAAATGATGAAATGAAAGTTTAAAAAATGGTTAAGTTTGTATATTAGTAAATTTGATGAAATTATAATTTATGGGCGACCTTTAAGCGACGCTGAAGTGATTTTAAGAATGGATACCTACTGATTAGAACTAATTGAGAGTTATAAAACAGTCAGAATTCTCATCATTTACAGTTCATGATTAGGGTTAAAAATTGGATTTAGGGTTTTCATCAGGAAATAACATCAACTATAATGCTAAAACTCTATTTATCTATATGTATGGGTGAATTTCGCGCCACAATTCGTGACTCGTTATCTTATATCTGATTGGTTCGTCCATAAATTATAGTCTCACCGTCAATTTATCAAAAATGATTTAAAATATTTATTCTATTGACAATAATCAAGATACTCTAACTATTTAAAATTAAAATTAAAGTTCCATTTTGAAAAAGTCTTTTTGTTTTTTTTTGTTGAAAAAAGCTACTTATGAAATATAAGTAAATTAATTTTCAGTAGCTATTTTATTCATACTGTTTTAGCATTCTGTACTCTGTACTTGTGTTTACTTTATAGTTATAAATTGAATTATTGATACAATTCATATATGATCTGCCTTAAATTGTACATATAAATATTTAATATCAGAAGGGGTTTCGTGGATATTATAGTAATTTCAATGGTTGAGATCATGAGTCAATCGAAAATAGACCACCATGGAAAACGTGGAACCACTGGACGGCCGTTTCGTTCTATTGTGAGACTCTTTAACAGTATGCATCCACAACATTAACACCATTGGATGCCAGCTCAGTGGCTTAGTGGTTAAGCGCTCACGCGCGAGACTGATAGGTCCTGGGTTCGAATCTGACAAGGCGCGATATCGTGGATGCGCACTTCTGAGGAGTCCCACAATAGGACGAAACGGCCGTTCAGTGCTTACCGGTTCTCTATGTTGGTCTAGCTTCAGCTGACTCATGATCCCAACCATTGAAATATAAATATTTATTGAAAATTATTTCTAATCTTCTTCAATGTTGACTTTTCTAGGTTTCGGATATGAATACTCTGAATAATAGAAATTAAAAAAACTCTTGGTGATAAAGAAATTTTTCAGTAGGTTTCATTCACTCAAGATCATTTCAGATAATTTAGTACTAATTATTATTTATTGATCAATTAATTAAATATTTTTGACCTCAAGGACATCAGTCACATTAAAAATACCTCAGTGGTAAGATGACTGATTTCATAGCTGAATAATACGGATTCAAATTCTTCAGAGAAAATAAGTTCCCACGATCATAATTAACATAAAACTCAAGTCCAAATTTTCATGAATATGAAGGAGATACAAAACGTTCTCTTGAAATGTTCTTCTACAACATAAACGAGTAATTTGAAGATAACTCTCGTTATACACTGATGACATTTAATGCAACACTCAGGAGTATTATAAGTTATCTCAAGTATATAAAGTGGGTTATGGAATTTCATTCACTTAAGTGGTTGATCATAAATTTACTAATCACGAGACTTGAATGTTATTAGTTGAATTGTGTACAGGCCCTACGGTCAGTATTAATGAAGAGTTTGTCACAATACCACATTGGAATTTCTGATTTCTAGAATCATACATAGAAGAGTATTTCATGTTCATTTCTATGGTGATAGTATATTCGTTATGAGATTTTAAAGAAATACTATGTCAAGACATACTATGCATGTTTTTGCATTAGGAATGTCAAGAAATAATGTTGTGGAACCTTCTGAACTAAAGTAGATCGTGTAAAAACTAAACATCCTTAAACTATTGATGTATAAATCAAATTGTATCAAATTATCAGATATCTCATATTTTGGATATTTATCTAGATAATTCTGGAATTAATTTGAAGAAAAACACATTCTTAATGAAAAAAAAAACTAATTTTGATGAACGACACCTTCCTTTAGTGAATATATCTAAAGGTAGTCAGAGTGATGACAGGTTTAAAAGACTATTATCATGAAACTTTCACAGATCTACTAAATTGCAATTCAGTGAAGTGAATAGAAAAGGCTTTTTTGTTCAAGTTAGAAAAGGATAAATAAGGATTCAAAATTGTAAAAATAATTTTCACATTAGTTAATAATCTAGAAAATAACTAATGAATTACTGAACAAATACCTCTTGTTATTCTATGGCTTATTAGATATAATTTAATACTAATTATACTGACTTTTACATCTAAATCATATATGTTGAATAATCATTAAGAAAAAAAACAAAGGAAGTATTTGTTTATTTATTTACGGTTGATCAGCTTTAAAATTTGTGTATGTTTCAAATCTAAGACACCAAATTATGATTGTACTTAAAAATGTTTAAATTATACTTACTCTCACTATCGTTTGAATATTCAGATTCGTACGTTAAGTTTTGTTTATCTTCGTATGATAATGATTTATTGTTTTGTGCTCTACTTAAATGTGCAAGATCATTTTCATCGTCTATTTCACTCTCATCATAGATTTCTTCTTCATTGTCAACAACTTCATTATTATCTCTATGTCTATGAACATCATCAATATGATTATGACCATTTTCAACGACTGTATTTCCTTCATTATTTATTTGTCTTTTATAACCCATATTTCTTAATTCATTTGATGTTAAACACCAATGATTAGATTGTATACCAGTTGTTCTTTCAGGCAAATAATCATTTATAGTTGTTTTAATGAGTTTTAAATCATTTAAATACGTTTCATTCAAGTGATTTGATGTTAAATTATGTAAAGATAATTCAGGATAATTCATGTTTAATTTTGTTGTCTGAAATTGTGGTATTAATAAATTAGAATACATATTATTTCCAGTAACTTGTGTTGCTGATATAGTTGTTGCCGCGGTTACTGTTGTTGTTGCTGTTGTTAATGTTGATAATGATGTTTTTCCAGTTGAAATATTATTATTATTATTATTATTATTGAACATTGTTAATTCCGTTGTAGAATTAAGTTTATTCAATGTAGAAATTATTTCATTTTGTTTTAAATAATCATTAGAAATTTGTTGATTTGATGATTGAATATTAAATTGTTGATAAGGATATGATGAATAATAATATGGATATGAATAAGAAATTGAAACATTTAAAGGATATTTTAAATTTGTTATAATTTCTTCATTTTTATTTATATCATCATTTTTTGAATAAATTATTGATTGTGTTAAATGTTCATTTAATTCAGTTATTGAACATAATTCATGAGTATGATAATTTCTAGAATTGGTTGATGAGTATACATTTATAGTATCGGTAAAATTAACGTCATTAATACGATCATTATTAATATTATTATTACCATTATTATTATTATTAATAGTAGTAGTATTAGTAGTACTAGTAGTAGTATTGTTACTTGTATTCATTTTTGTAAATGAAGAAATTTAATCAGTTGTTAAATTGAACATTTAACATATTGTAGAAACATTTGAAAAATTATGATTTTTTCTTTCTTTAAGTGACTTTTAAAAAAAGATAATTTGGAATATTATTATTATTAGTTTTTTTTATCATTAAAAAAAATATTTTTCCCTTCAATTATTTTGTGTTGTTCATTGAAATGAACATTGTACCTTGTAGAGATTGAAATTAACTACAAAAAATGAGGAATAGGGGATGAACAATATACAAAGGTATATGTCTTTATTTACAGAATACACAAGATACTTATAAATGTATGTCTAGGCTTTATGTCATACACTACTGAATACTGATTTGCGAATAATATATAGTATTATTTTTATTTTCTATATTATAAATATGCATTTATATCAAAGACAGGAAACATTTAGCTGAGAACAGTTAGACCCCTTTGCTTGAATACATATACACTAGTGTTTGCATATTAAAAAAAAAGAACAAAACATCTCCATACATTAACACAGGTAAACATATACACACATACATACCATGGTTTTATTAAAGCTTATTCAACTAATATATAGAATGAAACAAAATTCTATTAGAAAATTTATTATTAATATTCTTTTTTTGTGTGTGTTACAGGCAGAGATAAAAGTTATTCATAAATTTCATTGGTCCTGTTTACAGATTTTCCGATAGGTTTAAATAATATACGGTCTGTTATAGAACAATCGTTTCTTTTCATTGGGAAGTTTATAATTATTCAGTGGATTTAAAAGCATAAAAATTTATTTCACTTAATATTGTTTTACTTCAATTTTCCCAATGATGTTTAGGACTGCAATTGATCAGTCTCTTATTGGTATATGTACATAATGTGCTTATTGTTTCGATATTGCCTTATAACACAAACATTATAAGCAAAGATGGATGGTGGCTAGCAGTGGAATCCAGGACGCGCGTTTCGTCCCAAGTGGATAACGTGAAGGCGTTTGAAGTGAACGGTACTGGGTTCGAGTCCCAGAGTAAGCATCAACCCTAAGATTTAGGTACATCCAGCCGACGAGTCCCAAATAGAACGAACCGTGCTTCCTGGATTCCACTGCTAGCCGCTATCCATCTTTGCTTATTCAAATTTATTGTTTATTTATTGTATAACGAAGTTATTGTGATCAATATGAAGCTAATTCACCGTTAAGCTTAACATTAATCTATAAATAATCAGTGAAATTTGAATACTACTACAAATAACTATTTATTGACTTAATTATGAGTTTTCTAGTAATTTGCATTACAAACTGATATCCGCTAGGGAATTAACAAAAGTTAGAAATCGTTAGTTAATTATTTTATGGTAGATTTACATTTATCGGCACTGGAAACCCATGACCGTATGAGCATGATATTATTTTGATAGATTTGTATTCTTTGCAATACATTGTTTAATTTCTGATCTTTTATTGTCATTCTCGATAAATAACATCCGTTCCATGTGGAACTAAGATTTCCAGTTACGCCACAAGTAGTGTTCCTTTACTTCACTCTGTTAGGATTGATTATGATTAGTTACATTCGTGGGTTGTTTATCTTCATTTGTTCTTCAGTTCATTTTGATTGTTGTTTTCAACTGACCAATGGTCTTGTGAGTGATTAGCCTCTTCTGTATGGATTGATAAATTATATATGTCTGTGTGTTTATTAACTGAAAATTTATATTAATGAGATACTGAAAATGAATTATATTGTCCATATGATTAACTTAAATCATTTTTTGAAACCCCCCTATCCCGATCCCAAACGCTTGATGAAGAGCGATTCTTTCCCATTACAAATACAGTTAGTTATATACGACACAAATCACTCTTCTACTAAACACTGAAATCTAATTCGAACGAGATCAGAAACTATGAGGTTTCATATGATTAGCCAATAGAGATCGATCAATTTGACGGTGAAAAAACCGAAAGACTGGATCCCTTGATGGTAACAGCCACCCCACTGGACAAAAAATTACCAAAATTTTGGATTATGAATATAATATCTTTGTACCAATTTTTTTCTAAAATACTCGGCTTTCACATTTTTAGTACATTGTCATATAACTTTTTTAACAGTTGCCCTATTTTGAACATATGCGTACTGGTCTTATTTGAACTTTACATGCAATTCAATTCAATTTTCAATTTATTATTAAAATTCAAATGAATACAGCTTGTAAACTGGTCATATTCTATTTGCTAATAAAATTTTATACTTTGGAAAAAGCTTTACAATCTTACACCTTGTTTATTTTTTCTTTAATCGATAATAAGGCAAAATTTATACAAACAATTGAATTATAATCTGTAAATTAGGTTTTCTCTTTTGATTACAAGATGAAATCAGTTGCAGGATATCTTAAAGTAAATTTAACAACAACAGATATTGTTTATGGACTATTCTGATCATTAGCTTTTCTAAAAATAATAACTGAGCTTTTTAAAACAATACAATAGTTTTCAAAAGTACAGACTAACGTTCACTAGAAGGAACCAATTTTCCTCGTCTGGTCGCCTCCATGTGCAACTATCAGTCCACCTGCTCCTGTGGAGCAATGTACATAGGCCATTGCTAACGCTTACTTCCAACGTCGATACGAGAACATGTCACAGTGTAATTCTACAAGGATGAAATGAAAGCAAATATAAGTTCCATTTTTTAGCATCTAACTGACTGGTACACAGGTAGATTTTAAAGTTGTTCGTACCATCTGTACAAACCTACCTAGATTTCTTCGTAACCAAATTCCTAAAACAGCAGAAGCTCTTTCCATCTATGCATTGAAGCCAGAATTGTGCGTACAAAAGAAGTAAGTTTTATCCTTATCCTTATTATCATTATTACTATTATTACATTTTGCACTTGAAAATATCCCTCTTTTTAATTATGTCTCAAATCCTTATGATTTTATTCATAACTGTTTCTGATATTACTTCATTTGATTTTACCCTTCTATTAACTCTGATTATCGTAATAAATATATCATATTCATCTTACTTCATTCGTGTTATAGTCCGCTGCTAATTTATTAATTTTACAAGGCTTTCTATTAGCACACTCAATCTTCTATTGTTATTATTCACATTACTCAATCTAGTATTATAATCTTTCCATTACATCCTAATGTTTATTCCTTGTTCATATGACCTCAAAATAATGCCATCTGTATATATATGATTGTACAGCTTGATAATAAGTTCGTCAAAAAAGTGATCTATTCGCTGAACCTAGTATTTTTAAAAGCAAAGTTGTCAAACAGTTGAATGATTAAAAGATATTCGACAACAGAATAGTATCATCTGCCTGTTAGAAAATATTGGTCAAGTAAATTTTCATGACACGAAAATATGTAAGAGAAATTTATGTTCAGTCAGTCATATTCAAACCATATAGAATTACTGGGTATTATTTTCCGTAAAAACTACTCTCTTCACTCCCTCTTGACCTTCTCTTTGCAGCACACTTCTTCACAAACGATATGTTATACTTTTCTTCTTTTTATATCTCCGTTCTTTCAAAAATCAGGTCAAACGAGAGTATTGTACAAGATTTTTGATCCTTTTAATAATTTCACCAACCCAACAAGCAATTATAGTATTCTTTCCAATAAACCAAAACTAACAATCGAAAAAGTGGTAAGGTTTGAGACAAATACATCGTTTAAAATTGTAGGAAATAAAACAATGGTAATCTTTATGATAGAATGACCTAATTTGAAAAATACATACACAACCTTTTCTATTCAAATATTATTGTCTTTGTTGTTTTATCTACATATCTTTATTATTATTATTATCTCCATAGTATAAGTGGCGAATCGATCTTAGCTAGACCAATAGTAAAAATATAGGAACACTAGATGACCGTCTTGTTTAGTATGGGGTTCACCTGCAGTACGCATATACGACCCCGCTTCTAGAGTCGGTTCTGCAGCCCTCAGTTTCCCGCGTGGACGCTTAAGCTCTAAACTACTGAGAAGGCATTCAATGGTGTACATATCCAACTTCAGTCAACCTGCGATCTTACGTAACCTTCATCCACTGCTTACAGTGGATAACTGTCTTACACCCAATTAGTCATGGCATCTCACTAGAACTCTATCAGTTGTATCTTGAGCACGTGATACCTCTACGCTGTTATTATTATTATTATCATTTCCATATCGTTGTTAATCTCCCGATCACATGAATAATTTAGTAATCACTCACTCCAATTAACTATTTCTTACAAAATGTGTAAAAATTTATATCCTATGTTTTTTCCTACCAAAACTCCGATTTGATTTTCAGCCACATTACTATTTCTCTCACCCTATATTACCCATAGTTACTCTGATCATTAATCTCCCAATTGCATTTAATGCATAGACTTATTAAATTTAGAGATATACATCAGCCATTTCATCAGTAACAATTTTATTCTGTTTTACATACAATCCTAAATTCACATCCTGTCATTTTAAACGGAGCATTTTGCCTTAAACCTGGATAATTTTTGCAGTATTAATTTGCATACATAACTGCATAACTTGAGAAGAATTTAATTGAAAAGAATATTCTTTATTCATATATCAATCAATCTTTCAGTCATAGAATCAGTTGATAAGAGTCGAAATAGTAAAATTAAGAGTTGCTTTTCATGCAAAACAGTTTCAAAATAATACAATCATAAAGCCTTTGAAGTGCATTGCTTTTGTATGACAATGATAAAGAAATGAACTTTACACTTTACTAATAGATGACTTTCCCTTCTATTAATAATTTAATGTTTGTTATATCGCAAATAAGTTGTTGTCATTTTACACCCTACCATTGACCACCGTTAATTAAGTATTATTTCAGTTATGACATTCAGAGTATCTGCTTTTCAATAATGGATAAGCCGTTTTAACTTCCATTTATCAATTTACTAGTGGAAATTAACTATGAATGCATCATTTTATTTGTTAAACATTTTTGTCTTT